TTTTTAGCATCTCACTCAAATGGGAGAAATAAATTCCATTTCTAAATCCCATTTAATATAAAGTACAACTAACACGTGTCCCCATACTTATGCCTAACTTTTAAATGCAAACACTAATATCCTAATATGTAAGTTTAGGAAGACCTTGGACACAAACCCACATCCGATACTAGTGCTTTGTGAACATATCTTTCGCATGACCACAGTTTGAAGCTAAATTTAAGAATTTACACGGGACACACTATGGTAGGTGACCAATGAAACATAGACATCAAGTTAATATTATCCAATAATTTAGGAGAAAAAATAGAACAAGATACAAAAAAAAATAGTTAAATTCGTGTGAGAATGGGAGCAGAGAGGAGGATCATAACTATGTGTCTTTGGGAAAAAAACCAAAAAAAAAAAAAAAAAAAGGAATTGCTGTGATTGTGCATGTATATGCATACATTAAGTGCTTAATTTTATGTGAAAAATCCATATCAATGGCAGATTGGCCTCAGGTGTAAACAGTACCTTCATTACTCTCATCCAAAAGAATGAAAGAGCTGTCAACTTAAAGGACTTTAGGCATATTAGCTTGGTTGGCTCTGTATACAAAATTCTTTCTAAAGTTCTTACAGCTAGGCTTAAAAAAGTTTTGCCCCTTGTAATTGGAGATACACAATCAGTTTTCTTGGGTGGTAGGAGTATCCTTGACGGAGTGTTGATTGCCAACGAGGTTGTGGATGGATGGCACAAATCCAAGAAAGCAGGGCTGCTACTCAAACTAGATTTTGAAAAGGCTTTTGATTCCATCAATTGGGGGTTCCTTTACTCAATGCTTGCAAATTTTGGGTTTGGTTCCAAATGGATCTCTTGGATTAAGGAATGTACTTCATCCTCAAGGATCTCAATACTTGTCAATGGTTCACCAACCAAGGAGTTCAGCCCTCAGAAAGGTCTTGGGCAAGGTGACCCTCTATCACCATTTCTATTCAATGTAGTTGCAGAAGCACTCAATATTCTCCTCTACAGAGCTAGGGAGTTGAGATTGCTTAGAGGGGTAATCATCGGTAACAGTCATGTTCAACTCTCTCACCTTTAATTTGCAGATGATTCTTTATTATTCTGTGAGGTTGATCTGGCAGAAGTTCTTACCTTGAAAAGGATCCTCAGATGTTTCAAAATAGCTTCAGGGCTCAAAATCAATTATCACAAAAGTGTGGTTTGTGGGTTAAATATATCTACGTCTGCTTTTGATGAATTTGCCTCAGTGCTAAACTGTAAGACCCAAAAAATTACCACTTAAGTACTTGGGTTTACCTCTGGGTGCTAGTCCTAAGAGAAAGAAGACATGGCAGTCTGTCATTACAAAGTTCAAATTAAGGCTTGCTGGTTGGAAAAGGAGATTTCTATCTTTTGCGGGAAGGTTGACGTTGGTGAAAGTTGTCATGTCAAGTCTACCAATCTACTTCTTGTCTCTGTTCAGGTTACCAGAAGGAATAGCCAGAGAGATTGATAAAATTCAAGCTTCATTCTTGTGGGGTGGCCCAGATTCAAAGAGGAAAATACATTTAGTAAAATGATCAGAGGTTACCAAGAGCATTAATCAAGGTGGGCTGGGTATTAGAAGAATTAGAGATGTGAATGTATGCTTACTTCTCAAGTAGTGGTGGAGGTTTGCCTGTGAACATCACTCATTATGGAAGAGAGTCATATGCAGCAAGTACAGACTTCCGGAAGGGCTCTGGCTTCCATCTCTAATCTCAGGCATCAATCTTTCCAGAATTTAGAGTGACACAATAGCAGCAGTGGAACAGAAGGACTTTCTCTTACAATACTATGTTTATAACCTCCAATTAAAAGTGGGCAATGGTTCCAGAATCAGATTCTAGCATGATAGATGGTGTGCAAATATCTGTCTCAAAGATGTCTTCCCAAGATTGTTTCGTCTGTCCTTTGATCAGATGGGATATCTCAAGGACTTTGTGGATCTCTCAAACTCCTCTGGGAATTGGCTACTTAATTTTAGGGGGCTCCTATTTGAATGGGAAAATGAGGAATTACACAGACTCATTGGCACCTTATTAGTAGCATCTGAGTTAAATTAAGAGGTCCAAGATAGTGTTGTGTGGCTAGCAGCTAAGCCAGGCCAGTCTCTTGTCTTTGTTTTTTACAAACATACTAGTCACTTTCTTGGCTGTGACGATAGCACCAGTAAATCAGTGTGGATCAAATACATTCCTCCCAAAGTGCAATTCTTTGGTTGGCTCGCATGGAAGCGTAGGATCAAAACATCTGTGTTCTTGCATCGGGTTGGTATTTTAAATTTGTCAGCATCCACTCTGTGCATCTTCTGTAAATCTCATCAAGAAACAAGTGAACATGTGCTACTTCTTTGCCCTCTAGTGTGGAGGATATGGTCTGGCCTGCTGTAGTGGTGGGGGCTGTTTGGGTGGTACCAAGTTCCATTGAAGGCCTGCTACAATGGTGGGCAGGGAACTGCTACAATAAAAAGGAACGGAGAATATGGCGAGCATTACCACTGGTGGCCCTTTGGTCTATATGGAAGCACAGAAACGAATACCTCTTTCAAGGTTCTTAACCTAAGATGCTCGAGCTGCAGGAGCTTATTATCACAAGGCTAGCTATCTGGTTAAAGGCTACATCCAAGGAGTCTCAATTCTCCATTTCAGATTACCTCTATAACTTCAAGCAAATCAGATTCTGTCTACGTGGTCTGGTGTAGTTGTTTTCTTTTCCGTGGTGATTTTACTCTGTTTTGAGTTGGTCTCTCTCCAACTCTCTTGAACTCTCTCCAAGCTTGTATCTTTTGTCTTTATTATACTTCCTTTCTGCTCGCCGCTCAAAAAATATACATACATTTGACATACATAGCTACACATAATTTGTTGAATCATGCATAATATGCATAACATGTAGAATGTAACATAGAAACTTGCAAGATCTACGTCTGCAGGGTTTTCGAATCCCCAATCAACAATTTCACGCAGTTGCGGGAATTCCTCTATGGCATATAATATTGGAGTTGTTACAATTCCCTGCAAAAGAATTTTAATTTTCTACACTTGTATACTCATCCTTTATACAAACTATATATCCAAACCAAACTATAAGCCTAGTGTCCCAATCAAGTGAAGTCACCTACATGAATCTTTATTTCTCCATTAAGCTTTATCAAGTGCAATATGCTCAATTAAATTCAATAAATTCATATCTTCTTTCATTACCAAGAAAAAGCTTCGGGACATTTCTTATTTTTTGGGCATCTCTATTAAATCTATTGGTGACTCCAATGTTCTTTCTCAACACAAGCATGCCTCTGAGATTTTAGTCAAAGCTGGTATGTCTTCTTGCAACCCATAGCTGTCAAGCCTGTTATCCGTCATTCTGATGCTCTTCATTTTCATCAACCTGAGTTGTATAGGAGTTTGGTGGGAGGTTTACAATATTTGACCGTAACAAGACCTGATTTGTCTCTAACTGTCAATCAAGTTTGTCAACACATGCATGCTCCATCCAATTGCAATTTTGCTGCTCTAAAACGGATCCTCATATTTGTACAAGGATCTTTCTCTCATGGTCTTACTTTCAGTTCCAGTTCTTTTGATCTACAAGCTTTTATGACTCTAATTGGGCAAGTGACACGTTGGATACGAAGTTTGCTTTAGGCTATTGTGTGTTTCTTGGTTCTAATCTCATATCATGGTCAGCTAAAAAAGAAAGCCACTGTATCAAGGTCCTCTACTGAGGCTGAGTACAGATCATTGGCTCACACCACTGTTAAACTTAGTTGGCTACAAATGGTTCTTGTTGACCTTCTTTCTTCTTTTTTTTTCTTTTTTTTTTTTTTTTTTGATCGGCAAAAAAGCAACTATATTGATGAAATAGCAAAGTACAAAGTACAAGAAAATTTACATCAATATAGAGAGGGAAGTGCAAAAACATCACACTGAGCTAAATCATACCAACTATATTGGCACCAAAAAGCCCATCATATCAGCCTAAGCATATCAGTATGGTTGCCCAAGCATCAGCATAGTAATTCACAGCTAAGAAAAACAATACAACAAAATAGAACTTGAACCAGCAACCCCACTAAACAAGGCCAGTAGCAAAGCAAAATTGACAGCAAAGCAAGACAAACAGAATCTGAGGCAAAACAGCAGCAATTCCAGACAAACAGGGTCAGCAACAGAGCAAAACTGACAGCAGTGCAAACCTAATGAATAAAAGCCTTCCAGATACACTAAATACGGCTTCTAACTTGATGTATATTAAATACAAACTCATTCACTGTGAACCTTGCCCAAATGAGTGAGTTTTTATCCAAGGGGCCACTCTAACTATAATGAGCTCACAGAGATCTTCATAGGTAGAATGTAGCCCATTTAACAGATACTTATTCCAAAACATTGAGCAGAGGCAATGCACACACCAACAAAACTCCAATACCTAGTATACACCCTCTTCCCCTGCACTAAACACCTCAGAACAGCAACATACAACAACATACAGTAGAGAACACATTAAGTGAAATACTTAGCATGGGCCCCTTAAGTGACTACAACCTTTTCCAAAATAAAGCCACAGAGAACACACCTCTACACCAAAAGCACAGCAAGGCTATCCAATAGCAAAAGCACTACTGAGCATAACAAAAGAAGACACCAAAAGAACCTCTACACCAAAAGAACACACCAAAAAGCACTACTGAGCATAACAATCCAACAGAACAGAACCTGAACCTGAACTTGAACAAAGCAGACCAACATATCAACCACCAAGACTTGTAGCCATCTTTACAGAACTAGTAACAAAGCCTAAGCTGACAAACAGAGACACACTCTAGCAGAACCAACCATAAGGCTAAGCTCAAGCATCAACAAAACAGCTACAGCAACAAGTCAACATACCAGAAAACCATTCACAGCAGAAGGTTGAGGATGAAAATTTGTAACTGTGGCCAAATCAGCATAGCAAACCAGGGGCAAGACTCAACTTCTATGCATAATACAATATTGGACCTGCTGTGAGTTTAAGACTACATCATTAATAGAGAACTCCACTTTGGCTGGGGATGATTTGACCCACAAAGCTATTCTTACTTTGACAGGCTCACATAGATCTTCAAAATTTGGCCGCAACCCATTAAACACACATTCATTTCTATGCTTCCATATGGACCAAAAGATAGCCAAAAGCACAACCTTCCATAGCGGCTTCTGAATCTTTTTCATCTTATAGAACGACCACCACTGTAACAGTCCTTGCACTGAGTTTGGTATAACCCACTGTACGCCCCACCGTTTCATAATATGAGACCACAACAGCCAAACAGAAGGGCAAAAAAGCAAGATATGATTGACTGTTTCTACCTCATCTTGACAGAAAGCACAACCCACATCTGCATTCACTTCTAAGATCCCTATTCTCTGCAGGAAACTTGATGTTTTCACCTTGCCTTGCCATGCCAACCACCCAAAGAATTTTACTTTAGGTGGAGCATAGTTATGCCAAACTGCCACTGTCATATTCCTAACAGGCCCCAAGAATAATTCACATCTTTTGTACATTGACGCAACAGAGAGCAACCCAAATGGATCAACCTTCCACTTCCAAACATCTGGACTTATGACCTAAATGTCTGGTACGAACCTAATTAAAGTATATAACCTACTTACCTCCTCTTCCTCCCAAGCCAACAAAGGCCTCCTAAATTCCAGATTCCAGTCCTGCTGCCTTCCTCTTCTGGTATAAAAGTCAAAAACTATTCCATACTTATCAGTGGACAGAGAGAATAGTCTAGGAAATTCAATCTTAAGACACAAGTCCCCTGACCATTTATCTAGCCAAAATTGAGCTCTCCTATCATTTCCCAACTGATTTATGGAGTTATCAAGGTAGAAATTGAATAGTTCAGGCTGAGATCTAACTGCATTAATTATATCAGACCAAATTTTTAAAACTCTAATATTTCCTTCCATATATGGCAGCCATCTTCCACCGCCCATATTATACTTTGAACATATAACAACCTTCCACAAAGTGTGGTTTTCTGACCCAAACCTCCACCACCATTTCAGCAATAAGCACTTATTCATATATGTGGATCTTCTAATTCCCAAACCTCCCAAATTTTTGCTCTTGGTAATGGCTTCCCATCTAACCATGTGAACTTTTCTTCTAAGATCTAATCCCCCCCATAGGAAATTTGCTTGAATTTTGTCAATTTCTTTTGCCACCCCCACTTATATTTTGAACAAGGACATGTAATAAAGAGGCAAGTTACTCATAACAGACATAATTAAAGTCAGCCTCCCAACAAACGAGAGCAACCTTCTCTTCTATGAGGGTAATTTCTATTTAAATTTATTTAAGATTGGCTTCCAAGTACTTTTCCTATCAGGATTAGCTCCTAGAGGTAACCCAAGGTACTTCAAAGGCAAGTTTTGATGTACACAATTTAATCGAGACGCAAAGCCTTGCATCAGCTCTTCATCTACGCCAACACCCTGTAGATGTCCCCGAACGTCCCGAGAGGGAAATCCCGTTCTGTTCATTTGGGCTCACTACAGTTCAGGACTCAAATGTCACGGTCCTGTATCTAATCTCGCAGAGTGCAATGCAAGACCGATGAATCATCAAAGAGTCCAAATCCGGCAAATCGTTTTTTGAAAACAGATTTTTTTGAAAGAAGTGCCAATCATGGACTGCTTTTCCAGATACAGAGTCGCCACCTAAATATTTTATTTTCAAAAATTTAGGAAACCCTGACTCGTTTGCCTAAGGCCACGTGTCCGTCATCACAAAAGTTGCCTCGGCTCGGGAACTTGGGTACGATTGGGGAAGGTCACTTCGTGAGCACCCCCGCTCGCCCGATCAAAGATCAGCCTCTACTAACCATGATATTGAGTTTTGAAAACATTATGTGCTCTTATTCCGGTTATTAGCCTAGATTTTACTATGTGATGCGCACAGCATACAAGTATAGACTGGATTGCCTAAGTTGGAACAAAGTATCGCACATCCATTTGTTTTGAAAATGGATTGAAGTTTGCTACTCCCAAGTAGGCTAAAACACGGGTTTCGAAGAATTATTCCAACTCAAGCAACCCAACCTTCACCCACAGGCATTCAGGCAGGTATATCACATAAGCACATAGCCTCATGGTAAGCATGCTATCATGGCAGTCACTCACACATATGCAAGGATGCTAAAGCACAAATACTTACCAAGTACTCCAAGCCAAAACATAAACTAGTTAGTAATCAATGCATGATCCTAGTTTATGTTTAAGATGGCTAATGCAACACATGCAAAATGCAACTAAGATAGGCTCGGCTATTCTAAACATGGCATATGA